TCTCTCTCTCTCTCTCTCTCTCTCTCTCTCTCTCTCTCTCTCTCTCTCTCTCTCTCTCTCTCTCTCTCTCTCTCTCTCTCTCTCTCTCTCTCTCTCTCTCTCTCTCTCTCTCTCTCTGTCTCTCTTTCCCTCTGTCTCCTTCTCTATCTGTCCCGTTCTCTTTGCTCTCTACCGTTTCTTTTATCTTAACTTTAATGTACGTTAGTAGCGCGTGACCCAAATTACGTCGTATATCCATACGAACTCGTTTTTGTCGCGAGATATTTATTATCGGAGCGTACAATTCGTTATGCTATCACATAACTCCTCCGAAGGAATTTCCTTGCGAAGCAATTTGAAACATTTTTTGCCGATACATTTTAGTCACGAAATTCCTTGATCAAATATCTCAATTCCTTAATCATTTATTTATGATAAAATGAATTAATTTTTACTTGCAATGAGTGTAGTTTAATAACGAAATGTATTTTCAAGCTTTAAAATAAACATCCACGTAAATTCGATAATAAATCTTGACTTGGAAATACTTCTTGAGCTCAAAACTATTTATTTCGATTAAACGAGATGTCGGAAGTATTTAATAGTGACTCGATCTGGTCGATGAAATTTAGCTCTGGCAACCAGGAAATGGTCAAGTGCAAAGACCTAGCTAGAATGTCTGGCGTTCGAGAAGCGCGCAACCCTTGCCATCACGTAACAAAGATGTCACTGACATTCTAATTATTTTCGTTAAACATCTCATTCATCAGCGAAACATTGGCTATTACGTCGAAATAGTAGCGTTATTTATATCGTATTATTTAGTAGTTTACTATCTGCAACTATAATAATATTATATATATATATATATATATAAATATTTTTAAAAACAAATTAAATCTCGAATGTGTATTGCTCGACACTAATAAATAATTTTCCAAGGGTTGGACTGTGTTACAATAGTATGAATGAGTTATAATTAACATAAATGAGCATATTCATAGATATATTTTTAGCTGTTCGAGTTGACATCAAGCTTTTATGACAAAGCTAATAATCTCTTGCTACTAAAAGCTTTAACCGAGATCAAATCGTAATGATTCACATCTAAAAGCAAAACTCAGCCTTGTAAAACTGGCGCTATAGACAAAATAGCATATTTACTGGTTTGCGTTGTTTCCGTTACATGTTCAGTTGCGTTTGCTAACAATAAATTAGTGGACTTAAGAAGTGACAGCTCATAAATCATTTTAGCGCGAGTGTCCCTATAATTTTGCGACTTTGAACCACTGTTGCAATCAATTTACTTGAAACATGACAACAATTCAAATATTTTACACATCACATTACTTCATCTGAAATTATTTTGGGATTGGCAAACGAATCTATCGCGTATCAAAGTCAGTATATAATTTTACCCAATTTGTGAAAAATTTTTATACTGCAAATACATAAAAATCTATAATTTATTCGTGAAAATCAATAAATATAATTAGCACAAGATATTTTTATCTACATCTAATTGTTAAATATTTATTTATTTACGGCTTCAAAAGCAAAAATTTAATAAAGAAATAAAATATTAATATTTCATTATCTAACTAAAATTCGTTGTTAAATTTGTTGTATCAAAAACACAATATAATATCAATGTTAATAAAAAGTTGTAATCTACGAAACGGTTGTAAATTCATGTATCGATTTTTATGCGGCATTGCATGTCGTAAAAACGCTGCTCGCCTGAAATAGACAATGTGCCAGAATTTTACGGCGACGGTATTACGACACGTTGCGTCATTGTTACGCCATGATTTCGTATAAAGCTCGCTACTTGCTTGTTCGAAGCTCAGAACATCCGCAAAGTCTCGACAGAAAGCTTCAGCAATCGTGCCAAAAAATTTCTCGTATCTCTCGAGTATCTCGCCCAACAAAAATCGAGAAACCTCTGCTTACACAATTCGGATTCCGCGCGGTTTATATTGTAAATCGCAAATTGCGTCAATGTAAATTATCTCTACACTGCACGAAATTTCAAATAAAATCGCGTTACTAAAATACATAAAAAAAAAAAAATTTTAATTCCAATCAATGTTGTCACTCTATTCTCTATCATTAACACATTATTACGTACAACAACGAAGGGATCTTTAATTTATGTCGTCGCGACGTTGTAAATATGTGGCGGTGAATTGTCTTTGTGTAAGCTGTCTTGTATCCTCAGGCACGTCGTAATTTCGCGAGGTGTACGCGCGGGTGCGAGTAGGGGGAAAGAAATGTGTACCTTGTTCTGGGGTGGTGTTTGCGTACTTTATTATCAAATATACAGACATAAGTCGATTAACGAGTGGGTCATTTTCACCAGGTCCTTACCATCCCGCGTGACTTTTACGCGACGACTTTTCTTTCCGATCATTCGCGGTTGCGGACGTCTTGGCAGCCGACCCGTAAACACTTTTCCTCGAGCGATTATCGCGCAACCGTGTCTGACTACGCGCTGGCGCACTTCACTTACCGAAATCCAAAACCACCTTTCTCGAGTGACCGCAGGCCGTGGTCGTCACGACGGGTATTTCGTATCGGGAAAGGCGCGGTCACTTTCTCTTTCTTTTTTTTTTTTTTTTTTTTTTATTATTCGTTAATCGTTTAATAAGAAAGAAAGGTATGGATATCTTTTATGTATGGATAAAAAGATATACGAATCCTAAAGATTATCGCGATAGGGATATTGCGTCGATTTATTCGCGCGCTTTCGTCGTCTTTCGTTCCCTTCCTGAAACTCTCTGACTGGCTCTAATAAAAGACCCGAACGGGTCAGTCTCTGGATCCTCACCGTGGTGGGAGCTTCGACAAGGAGTCAAAATAGATTAGGCGAGGTTTCCGGTTGGATTAAAACCAACCTCAGGCAACGTTTCTTGATGAAACAGCTGACGCTTTTCATATCTCGTACATGAATTCCGCAATCTCGAAAAACTTTACGTTATATAACACGAATTATATAAAACTACATTACGTAAATTACAGCGATATCACATTAAATTTTGACTCTATGGATTAATCTAGAATAAATTCGTAATAATTTCTAACAGATTTGAGAATAAAGTATCAATAATTTTATTCCTGGAGAATCTCAGAAATCTTTAATTTTTCATCGTTTCAAATTCCAATTACTAATACATGGACATTGCAATTTAATGAAAATTATTTCAGATTGGTTAAAAAAAAATCATAAAGATCCTGAGAAAATCTCCAAAAAGAAGCTTCAAGAATTTTTATTTTATTATTTTTAAGCGAACGTAGTAATTAAATAACAATATAATTATCAGTAAACTCATTTATGATAATTTTTTAAGATTTTTACTTTTTCTTTTCGCTTAATCGAGATATGTATTATTATGATTTTCTTGATCATAATATTTCGTGTAAATTATTACGATCCGCCAACTGGTTTGATGGCTCACAATGGAAAACTGAGAATCTTGGCGCACAAATCGGCGGTTCATGTTGTCGCAGTATAATTTGCATTGCGCAGTTCCGAAAGTGACGAAATGACCAACTATGATGTTCCTCCGCTGTCCTACTCGATCTCTATTTTCGTTCATCTAAATAAAGCCGAAAGTGGCCCAGTTTCTGCGCAACAAGCGAGACAACAACGGCATGCAATCGCGCGACATTTAATATTATTCTTCAGATATTTTAAGAGAGGGCTATCGTATCCCTCTTATTCCTACATTGCGCCATTTCACGTAGCATTTCGCAATATGCAATATATATACAAACAAATCGCGATGAGCGGAATCGCTTGTGTGTTGTAACGCGCTAGAAAGCGCAGATAATTGGAGAGCTCGCGCTAAAAAAATATTGCGTAGATATATTGTAAAATTCAAACACGCATGCCAATCAGTTTACTTCTTATACACTCTTATACACTCTTACTATACTTCTTATACACTCTTGTATTGAAAAAGAAGACGCGCGTCTTTCGTGGAGAACCGGTTGGAGTTTAGAGAAGATGTGCTCATTGAAAATCAAATCGCCGGGACGCTCGACCGAGCGCGTCCACCTTGACGACGACGCTTATATTTGGGTCACCGAGATTTCAGGTTTTCTTAATGCAAAAGCAATGCCGTCGGCGCAATAAAACGTCTGGTGAAATGATGTACGGTACGAGGCGCAGCCTTACGGCGTCGCGAAAATGCCTTAAATGGATAGAACGACTTCTTCGATCCCGGGAAAGAGCGTACTCGAGCACGAGATACGATCGCGAAATGCGCATAAGTCGAGTCTGTGGGGTCTCTCAATCGCGTACTGTTAACCATCGAACGCTGATTGCGCTGATCTTTGTCTCACAATTTTTATCTCTTGTACATTTATTATATCGTGTGCTGTTTAGCTTCTTGCGCAATTTCGTTTTTATCGAGCTCGCAGCTCGTTTTATTCGGATGTTCATGCAATCACCAACGCCAGTTTCACGAAAACTGTTGCATTTAAGTAGATACGTACCGTCGCCGGTAAGGCAGATGGCTGAGGATAAACTCGCTAACCACTGTGGTCTGACAATTACCTACCTCGACTACTTCGGCGACCTTCCTTCGTTAACGCCCAATGATAATTTTGTTCTTGATAAATATTTGATATTGTTTTATATAGACAGCAGACAGCATACTCTTTGAAATATTTCATCTATCCCAAATATCTCTTATTTCTTCATTTTTATCATTTCACAAATTTACTTATTTAATTGATATTAATTAATATTGAAAAATCTTGATTATAGTGTTGAAAAATGCAGTCTTACTGAACGCGACTTTTAAACTTGTGTGTGAATTTAAAATTGTCTATTTATATTTACGTAAAATATCATATAAACCAAACATCAAATCGAGATTATTTGTCAAATAATAATTAACATATTTTTCTTTCAAATTCTTACTTTCTGCACGTTTTGATAACCTTATACCTTATATTAAATATTTTCTATAATCTTCATTTTAATTAGAATTATAACCTAATATTTATTTTAGTCTTAGTTCAAGTAACTTTAAAAATAATAAATTTTCCAAAGTCCATGTTCGTTTAACATTATTACCTATACTATTATTACTAACTTATTTATTAATATTTCATTTTTCATGAAATATTCTAAAATATTTATATGAAAATTATTTTAGCAATTATAAAATGTTATTACTTAGTTACTTCTCAATCAAAGTACCACAAATTTTTACCACGCAAGTTCTATGCAATAACAATTTGTGAAAACATTAAATCTGAATTTAGCATTAATTATATTGTTTCATGAATGATTCCGTACTTTTTTTTTTGTAAAAATGGGCACTCACCTCGTCGCACGCAGCGCATCTCGGCTTAAGTTGTTCCGCATAATGCCTCTCGCAGAAAAGCGTGTCGTCATGCACGCAATAAGCGAGATCGACCAGGAGCTCTTTGCAATCCGCGCATCTAAAGCACGCTGGATGATAGAGAAGACCCAGTTTACTGGCTGACACAGCGAGGCTGCCGTATTTCAGGGACGATCCGCACACACCGCACTCCTGGAAGACAAAAGCCTGAATATTAGCAAATCTCGATACGCAAATTCACTCGTCACTTAGAATTAATGTCAACATCAAAGTTTCCCATCATCCCATCGTTATGTTAGGAGAAGATCTCATTTTGCGGTTGATAAGCCAGTTGATAAGAGTGTCAAAATTTGTATATTACGTAAAATATTAACTTCCAAATTTTGTTTGTACTTGATGCTGGAAGATCCAGCGATGTACTTACGAGATCTCTCTCAAGAACTTCCTGCACGCTACCAATATCCAAGGCGATCTCATTCCTGGCGGCCATAAAATCGTCGGCGCTACTGGCATGTTTGGGATCCAAGTGACGACAGTAGGCCCTTGCTAAGTCCTGTTTAGGCAGCTGGATCGCCAATTGACGATCTCTGTGCCGTTCGCCGGGCGTACCGAGTCTTGGTACAGCGATCTCCGGTAACATCGAAAAATATTCTTCCACCTGAGAAACAATTGGCCATTTTTAACAACTACTAGTTATATCTCTATTTACGAGTGCTAATAAAATGTTATAAAAGTAAATGTTGCAAATGTTGATACAAGCAAGTTTGACTTTCGAAGTTAGTATGACAGTTTTTTTTTTGCGGAAAATAAGCTTTCAAAGAATATCGATTTCATTTCGCTTTTTTAACTCCCATGAAAATAATTGTCTTTTGTCCAAAGGTTTTTCTCAGTAAAAAAACGTGCAAATTTATGATTTACGCGATGTGGTTTCGCCACAGTATATCGAGTATCGAAAACATCGTAAATGAACTATGGCACATTGATCGACCGCGAGTGGCTCACACTCGTAAAAAAAAAGCGCGAGAAATATCTGTAATACAGCATATCGATGGGGATAAAGACCAGTTCTAAACTGCTAAAGCTTTGCGTTGGGATTTTTCGAAAAATATTGAAGGCTGGCGGCATGCCAAGATTCTCGTCGGTCGTCTCGCACCTCTATGCACGCTTCGCTTCTGCCTTTCTTCCGCCCACATTCATCGCCTTATTATCCTATTCGCTTCGCAATATAAACCGCAAACGGTCATTTGAAGAAACCATCTTTGTCCGCTGCACGAACGATCATAGACGCATTTTGTGACATCTACAGATTAAAATGCGATGGACACGCATTATATTATTAGAATTATACAATTAGAAATAACGATTGAAGATACCGTTATACAGATAAAATAGACGTTTTCGACGTGTCGATATAAAAATATTAAACAAAATTAAATTCAAAAAACTGTCAAAAAGTATTAAACAAACTTTTTTTATTAATAATGGAGGAAAAAAATTTAACAATTTAACTTTTTGTTTATAATTTTTTTTATAAACATTAAAGTCTATCAGCAATAGATATTCAGGCATAGACAAAATTCTTTATTTTCTCTATAAACTGTGGCAATCTGTTGCTATTTCTTCATGTATGTCTAACAAAACACAGTTTCCATGAACTATATTTTTAATATTTATTTTTAATAAAAAGAACATGAAGAACAAAGAAAAAAAGTTCACCTTATGCGATGGAAGTCCAGGGGGTGCCCAAGCGAGACCTCTTTCTCTGGGATCCATACCGATGGGTCCGTTCGACTCGTCACCTTTAAGTCCCAAACGAGATCTGACAGATGCCCATTCCTCGTGGCAGACATCGTGGGCTTCCCGCGGACACTTGCAGCTAGTACAGTTTTTTCTGAAAGAATAACAGATTGTTTTTAAAAGTCAGATCCTCAGCATAGCAACACCTATCCATTATTCATGACAATATAAATTCCGATTTAATTATAGAACGAAAAGGAGATTATTATATATAAGATCTCGCGACTCAATTAAAGCCTTTCGATTAAATCTCTTTCGCCCAAGAAAAAGAGGCTCTCTGATAAATATTTGCTACGTGTCGTTCATTAACTCCAGACATGGCAGGCTGTGATGAGGTATCCAATAAACTTTTATTACCTTTATATGTCACACTCGTGCGTCGATAATTACATAATTAGGCCGAGTACCAACGGCTTTTTTTATTTTGAAATTTATATTTTATTTTTAATCCTATAATGACGTTTTCCAATGTCGCGAATGTAGCTTTAAATGCTCACAAATAACTTTTCGATAATTATCGAAACCATTTACTAATTATTGTTTCACACTATATTGCTAACCGCTGCTGTCGCGTTAACTAATTAAGTCAAATATTAATTAAATGGAATGTTAATTAAGGAAAAAAACATTACTAAAATATTGAAGGTAATTATCGCTTTAATTATGTTGAAAATTATGGGAATACAACGAAACGGATTATAAAGAAAAAATAAAAAAAAAGAGATTTAAAACACGATGAAAGAATTATCACGAAAAATATATTAATAAAAACGTCATAAAAGCTATTCATATCGTTCTGCATTTCTATTTTATGATCTCTCTTATTCGACTACAATGATTGACGAATGAGCGTTATGACAGACGCGACCGATTAGTGTAATAAGTAATGCATGATATTTGTAGCGAGTTGTGTGAAAGATATCAATATCCATATGTACGTGACACGTGGGTGCGACAGGAAACTTTTTACTGGGGAAAAGAGCATGCGAGGAACTTCGGATCGATATCAGTACTACCGTATCGAACGGCGATCGTATAATCAAGGGGATGCATTTGCGACGGGCGTTTATCGCGGCCTTTACCGCACCCTTCCGGATGTCGGTCCCAAGGCCGCCAAGACCCTTGCCAGTATCGTTAATGCCAGGGAGACCTTCTCTCGCAACTATATCTATGCTACGCGATAACAGCCGGATAAGGACTCGAATTATCGTATATACGTAAGAATTTACTTTTTTTCCTTTTTATCCTATTGCTTCGTGTCTTCTTTACTTCACTTGCCATTTGCGCAACTCGACGTTCGTTTTAATATTTAGGTCTTTTAAGTAATTTATTCTTTGCCTTATTTAAAAGAAATTTTCACTCGGTGTCTTTATTACAATTGTATCAACAGTAAACGATTAATTAATGTGACTCTTAATTCTTTTTCGAATATACAAGAATATATATATATAGTGTAAGATTATAACGAATTGTTAAATTATATCGAATTAATTAATTATCGATTTTATGTTTCTCTACTATAATTTTCGATAATATATTTTTCGTATATATATATACCAATAAAAGAGCGCAACATTCTGCAAAGTATTAATTATTTTAATTTAATGATTATATTTTATGATACGTTTTCATTAAATGCTCAACATTTATAAAACATTTTTGTTATAAGAGAGCACTTTATTCTACAGAATAATAAATATATTTTTTGATCCATTTTAATTTCCTCCGCTCAATGTCTGATATTTTAGAATCAATAAAGGTAAGTAAGTGGCAGTACATAAAAATACAGAATATGAAGGACGATTACGCGTTATTGCAAGAAGCGTCTCCGGAGGCATATCATCAGCGATTTCCGTAATGTCACGTTCATAATGTCAGTCGTACAATTATGCTGTTTGCCAACGAACTAACTCGGTCTCACGAGAAATCCCGTGCTATAAAAAAATCCTCCGTAGATCTTGGAAGGCTTTTATTCATCCCTTTCCCCGATGCCCTCATTACAGCTTGACTTAATCTTTGCCTTGTCGAACACGTTTCGATATTTTACGCGAGGTTGGGTGCAAATTAATGTTGACGCCTCGTTAATTCGCCGAACGTGTGTAATGTTTTACTGTGGTTACGTGGATCGTAATTCACTTGAACTCTCATGCCGACGATCATTTTACACGTATACCTTCGTCATCGATTGTGAATACATAACGCTCGAAATTCTTTTTTTATTTTTAACTCTTACCTAATTATGGCAGAAAAGCCAGACACGCCGGATGAGTCATGAGTATAAGCAAAAGACAACATATGATGTGCGAATTGAATTTATGGCACTTTCTTTATTTCTTTATTATTTCCTATTTCTAAAAGATTATAAATTTGACAATAAATTTTGGTAGACATTAACTTTCCTCCATAAGAAATTACTTTTTACACGGTATTTTTAAGAACACATTATTTGCTTGTGATAATGTATCTTCTACCATCCGGTTTATTTTATGATTCAATAATCGGGATTTAGGAACATCAAAGGAATTTTATTTCGGGATCATATCTGATATCGATACGGCGAATTAATTTTACAAGTGCGGGGCGTGACGCGTGGAATAGCGCGATAAATTCTTCAAGAAATCCTTCTTTTTTTACAGAGGCATAAAACACGTCGGGAACACGCAAAGAAGAAAAAAGCGCGAAAGTTGATCCGTCGCGATGCGAAAAGAAGAGTGGAGAAACGCGACATGGCATGACGTCGACTTATGTTAACGCGACTAAGCGAAAATGAAGAGGAAAGGCAAAAATTATCTCTCGCGTTATAAAAAGATTGGCTTGATAATTGTAGTTAATATTAGAGAAAGGGATTATTTTTGTAATATTAGCCAGGGAATTGTACCGCTAGTCTTGTACATCTTATACATCTTGTACATCTTATATAATAAAATATAACGATAAGAAGAAGCAAGAGAAGCTACGTGCTTGATAAAATCTGGTTCGCAAACAAACGTAGTCAGCGCGAAAAATCAACTTCGTTAACCTACAAACGTAGTCCAACATAAATCATTCAGTTGGGTTTGGCTTGGCGCAGCTTTCTCGCCGTTTTCCATCGTAAAGCACTGGGGGAAACTGTTAGAGGCTTCGCCTAATAGATGCTAACGGCAGTTAATTGCGTTTGCGCCATATTCACTGGCCGTTAAAACATTAGCGATATCCTAAAAGCCTGTTGATAAATCGAATGTAAGATTTTTCGTAAACAATTCCGAAACAGTGGAATAAAAAAACTTGACTTGATTAGGATTCTTTCAAGAAAATTTTTTATTTTCTCTTCAGGATATTTCTAAGATATTGACAGAAGAGAAGAAAGATTTTTATATAATCAAACTTATTGCTAGCAAAAATTTTTTAAGCTATTATTAGAAATATTATATTTAAATTTCAATTTTATCTGTCTTTTATCTGTCTTTTGTGTTAAAGCCTTGAGGATCTTACGTGAAATAATTTGATGGATGAAAAATCAAATCTTATAATATAATCTTATTATTATTATTATTTTTTTTGATTATTGTTTTAGATACAACAACTCTAAAATGTAATATATGAAAATTTACAACAGCAAGAATATGTTAAACGTTTGTCAAAGATGTATCGATAATAAAATCTAGGTTGACAAGTGTATACACTCATTTCTATCTGTACGAGTCACATTTATGAAATTAATCGTCAATTGCCGCATGCAATTACCTAACGATCAGCTCAAACAGCTCGAATTGGTCGAACACCTTGCAGTAGAGATGCAGCACCCGGACGCAGACCCACTTCATGCCGGGCCACGGTGCCAGGCTAAGATCCAGGCCGTCCTCGAGGGGACACTTGCCGATCGCCATGGTGCGTTTGAGTTCCGCCCCGGCGATGGTCGGATATCGGTTCTTCCGGTCGAGCATCGGATTTCGCCTGCGTGTCTGCAGCGGCTCCGCGGAATTGGAGACAAGGCCTCGCTTAATTTCCGCGCCAGACAGAGTCGGGTAACGGTCCCGTCGTTCCAGGGACGAGGTCTTCCGGTAAAAGTCTTTTTCCGGAACGGATGGGCATCTGGTGCGCGTCGCGGTCGCCTCGAAGAGAGGCGGACTCATGGGTCGCTTCTTCGGCTCCGGTATGCGAACGCGAACGTCCTGCGGCTCGGCGCCAGGCGTTGGCACGCACGACACCCGCACCTCCATCTTCAGGCCCTCCTGGCTCCCGGGCCCCTTCGGGCTCATCCTCGACGGACCCGCGTTTGGTCCCGAAAGCAACGTTGGCGTCGTGTGACGCCGCCGCAATCGCTCGTTCAGGATGCTGATTCAGGTGCTCGACATCACGATTCTAGGATTTCCTTTTTCGTCGCTTTTGTCTTCTTCATCGTCTTCGTAAATAATCAATTTTTTCCAAATCTAAGTTTATTTATCATAGTCTATCACGGGTCAATCAATTTACATTGACTTCGAAAGCAGTTTATGAAGGGTGTTTTCTTCGTCGAGATGATTTTCAAAGGTAATACTGTTTTTCTAACAGTGTTTTAATTGAGTGTTTTAATTGAGAATTGATAGTCACCGAAAAGCGGTCGTCTATTGAAATTAAAATTATAAGTATACTCCAAGAAAAGATAACATTTTGGGATAATAAATGATATATAAATTTATTTATTAATCTTGAACTTGGCAATATGTCTTATAGAATATTCCTATTCTACATTCTACAAGATTTATTATCTTTGTTTTATATAGTTTTATATAGTTGTAACACAATTTGAAACTTTTTCAATAATATCCCTTGAAAATTGTATTGAATAAAGCTTCAAAAATATTTTTTGGAAATGTGTTTTCGTCTTTTACAAAGAATAAAGAATTTTATATGTTTTTGTCTTTTACAAAGAATAAAGAATTTTATATGAAGAAATTTAATAATCTGCATATTATTGAGTAAAAAAAGTAGAAGTATTTTATTTTTCAAAAATATTTTTGGGTTGGACAAAATATCAAAATTGCAGATTAATAATTATACTGCAATAAGTACCCACTAAACGTTGCAAATTAGTTGCAAAAGTAGAATAGAAAATGCAAATGTGACCGCATATCTTATATGGACGTAGATTATCGTAAGTTGGGAGTATTCGAGCGAATCGAGCACACCTATCAAATGTGTCTCGCGCGAGATAATCTGGTTTATCTCTTCGCGTTAAGCGAGACGCGCGGACATCGTGATGCAAACACCGCGTCGACGTCGTGAGCGTAGTTTATAATTTAGGCAAATCGATATTCATCGTTTATTTTACGATCGGCGGCGAGTGGGTGGCGACTGTCTTTGCGAAAATAATTGCAGCACGCCGCTGTGCGTACGTCGTGTCGGGGATGCACGACGGACGAGCGAAACGCGGGTGCTTGTTCGCCCGCTCGTGCGGGCACGCACGTATCGTTGAATTTATTTTTATTGCGGAAATCGCGGCGATTTACAGTCGTCCGGTTATTTATAGTGAGGAAAGATCGGCCCCTCATCCCGTCTGAACATACGGCGAAAAAAGGACCCGGAGGAACAGAGATCGAATCGCCCTCGACATCAAAGACAAATATCATCAGTTACAAATCTGACTGCCGGTTAAGTTAATATTTAGTCGTTTATTTAACTTTTCGAGGGTTAGTTTCCTTTTATCCTTGTGCTCCTGTTTTTCTCTCTATATTTATCTATCTATCTATCTATCTATCTATCTATCTATCTATCTATGGACCTATCTATTTTTCACTGTATCACTGGTATATGCATATCCGATAAATCGACCCGTTGAATTCGAATTACATTATTGCAGCACAAATGATAAATAAATTTTGTGACGTATGAATCTGATTTTATATTTTTTAAGTGAATTTTTAATCTCATTATTTTTTTAAATGGAAACTTCTTATTAAATTTTTGTCGTACATTTTAACGTTTTGTAGTTTTTTAAAATATTAATGATACATTTGTATCCAGTCATCAATGAATATGTTTTAAAACAATTACATTGATAAAAATTATATCTATATGATTATTGATAAAAATTGACCATATGATCTTTATTTCTACATTATAAAATTTATATTTTATTCAATTTTTTTTTCTTTCTAAAACATTTAAAAATAAATTAAAATTAAAAATAATAATAATGAATAATAAACTTTAATAAATTAAAATATTTTATTGATCATCAAGCAAATATATTATTATTGTACATTGTTATGCTAATGTCAGACGATTTCAGAGCAGTTTTCAGAAACGCACGCGTCAGCTTGCAAAGTTTTAATCTTTCGATCGATTCGCGCGATCGACTTGCCAAGGCAGGTTTTAAGGAACGTGTTTGCGATTGTACGTGGTTTCTCATGTATGCGTTAAGCGAATAATATCGAAGTGCCGTATGCTGTCCGACTGGTAGATTATCCCGATAAATCTGACAGTGAAGATAGCGGAGCGAAGGAGCGCGGTCAGTTTTTCATATCTCTCGACTTTGATTTGTCCAAAAAAACAGCAATGAAATTTTTAGACCCCAATAATAAAACTTCATTAGATGTCAGAGCATATATATTGATATACATTATTAACTTTTATTATTTTGCGCTAAATTTAAATTCGGTATAATAAACCATTGTCATAACCATTCATTTAAAACAAATCATAAAATCCGTCCATTAAAAATAATAGATAATATTTTATCTGATAATAAATTATATCTTTTAAATTTTTATAAAATAACAAGGATTTTTTGATAATAAGGATCAATATTATATTTTGGAATCAGAATATATAAAAATATTAAAATATATAAAACTATTTAATATTCATTTAATATTCATTTATTTATCGAAAAATTAATCGAAAAGAGTTAATTCATATTTGAAAAATTTGCAAAAAAGAATTTGCATAATGCATGATGACGACTGTTAATGATCACGCGCGGTATTCCGATAATTCGATTGCACGAACGCAATCGAAAGAATGCGAGCTCTTCGATGTTGACATTTTCCACGCGATTCGCGGAAATACATTAACTCGAATTGCTATTTTTGCGCAATTCTGTTGCACATGCTGAATAAAACATGTCGGCCAGCTTCGATGAAGACGGTATAAAAGGGATTGACGTAAGTAGGAGAAGGTGGTAACTCTGTACGCGGCGCGCAGCAACCGAATTAATAGATCACTATAATCGCGAGCAATGACGTTTATTTAATAGGACACGTACGCTTTTCCATCGCGGAAATGGCTTTACCTGGAAACAGCTATTTCGTCCGCAGGTGAATCATCGCGGCAGAGAGGGTGTCCGTTAGTCAGTCACAGATTCGCTCTGCCAAGAGCAAAATCTAAAACTAGGACTCCCGGCACATCTTGACAATACGCGTGGAACAATAAATAAATAAATCATTATGCTCATCCGCGAAATGTATCGCGCATCGCTGTCAAAAGCGACACTAATGATGTAAGACAATGTTACATTGTAAGAACGTTTCAAAAAGGGACTGCGGCTTTTGTTTTTTTTTTTTTTTCGCCAAATGAAAATTATGTTCGGGTAGATAAATAAATGAAAAGGATAAGGAAGGAAAGATAGATGCTCCGGCAGTACGATTGATTGCGATCTACGAAAACATTTTCGAAATATTTTTCGTAGCTCGCAAACTCACTGCGATATGGATAGCGGTACGTAAATTGCTCGGTTGAACTACTGACAGGTGTCATGCGGAAGAAGGAGCCCGGAAGCTTTTGACTTAGCACAACATCGCGCCGACAAACCGACTGAGAATCAGAGGCCGCGCTAATAGCTATTAATTAGATAAATGCATGCTATATATAAGCGCTGGTAATAGTCCTCGTCGGAAATAGACGCAATAACGCACGATAAAACGCAGCTTCTCGCGTCTCACACGAAATATCTCGGGTGTTCTCGTGAGATGAAACGAGGGAAA